GAGTATGAATTTGTGCACTTTTGCTTTTCTTTCCAGAGTTGAAAATAGGTAATACTATTAAGGTGTATTTGTAAAGTGAGTACTAATTAATTGCGAAATATATTTATTTATACGCGCTTACAATCTGAAGTTGACAATGATTTGCCTTTCAGTTGCACTGTCAGGTTCTTCGTGCTGCGGCGTCGCCCCTCTCTCTTGCTGTACCTTCCCTCTCCCGCCACCCAGCGTCCTCGCTAAACTGAATGATATCTTTGTTGTGAAAGAATGCAAACAGAATTCAGGCCGTCTGAAAAGGGCTAGCTCATCGTTTGCAGCTCTGAAATGGGCTGGAAAATAGCTTTCTCCTTCCCTCTTGTATTATGGCATTCTGTCTTTTGCTTTTCAAGAACAATTGGTTTGTGTTTTAGCAAGGGAAGAGTGATCTTTACAGAAACTTGGAATAGCCTTGAGAAGGTGAAACATGATCTATAACTATTTGGATGCAGTGGTTATGAATTTTAACTACTCTCCTTTTCTGAGATGAGTCCTGGGTCCTCGTTATAGCCTGAGAGCAATGGAAAGAGTATGGAAATAGTTCCGTACTCACCAACACCTTCAGATATTTAAGCTTACACAAATTAACCTGGAATGCTTTGTCAGGAGTAATTGAACATCTGACCCTTTTGTGGATACAGAGACTTAAGAGTTTGACTTCAGTGGCTTGATGCAGAAACTTAACACAGGCTTCTGAAACTGTTTTTGGCCTGCATGCAGCAGCCAGTGCTTTATGGTGAATAGGCAAAAGTGACTTTCAGTATTTGTATAATGACTGATGTCGTCTGTTATGTATCATGAGGTCTAGTAACTTTTTAAAGCCTTGATAGTAGAATCTAGTAACCTAAGGAAGGCATAAAGAGTTTCCATCTTTTTGAAGCCATGAGTTCAGTTTTTGCTCAGTGCTAGGCCCGTACCAGTTGCTTAAAGTAATGTAAGAGATTTGAAATTTGGAGGAAACCCAGAAGTGAGCTAGAAACTTTGGATGGTCTGCTTGTAAGAAAACTTCGTTATTAAACTGTGTGAATGACACTAAAGCATAAGAAACTTTCCAAACTTCAAACTTATTTGAAAATGTGGAGTTATCTTAAACATTTTAATGCTTTCCACATACTTCCAGGTTTTTCTGTGAATTCCAACTTGCTCTGAACTGATAGCATTACTGAATATTTCACCAACGCTTAACGAGGGAAAATTTCATGCTCATCTTTAATTCATTAATTCTTCAAATTTGCAGTATTCTTCTGTGATAGTAATATGGCCATTGATAGTAATGTGGCCATTCTGCATGTCATTTAATTTTTATGCCTGTTATCCCTCTTAAACTCTTTCCTGAAATTAATCTTAGTGTCACTGGAAATTGTCCATACCTGTAATCCATTTCTCTGGAGCCTTAAGGACTTAGCTGGAGAGCCCTTCAGACAGGCCCAGAGCTGACTGATTGTAATAGCTATGCAAAAGTCCACTTTTTCCAGTTTGTTTAAACTAATTTGAAAGTATTTAGTATATAGGCAAATAGCCATTGCTATTTATAACATTCTTTCTGTTACGAAGGCTGGACTAGTATTATAGTGTAGTTGGAATGGAAGCTGAGTATAACATGGCATTAGAGATTTATTTTATCCTCAAATACTAGAATTAGCTAAATCTCTCTCAGTGCAGAAAAGAGTTAATTTATTTGGCTAGCTTAGCAGCTTACTTTATCTTAATGCATAAAAAGTGCCTGTCAAACATCCTGCTCCGTGTAGGCAGAACCTAAAAGTAAGCATCACTGTATAAAATACTTTTATTTATGATCCTTTAGCAAATGCTGTGCGCTATTAATATTTGATACGACAGCAAATAGCGCCGTGGAACTCTCCATCAGAGCAAACAGCTTGGCTGAAAGCAGCAAAACGTGGGGGCGGTTAAAACTTTAACTAAACTGCTTTTGGGGCAGTTTTGTGTATTGGCTGTTAGCCGCTTAAGGGGTTTGTTTTTCAAACCCCATATATATGATCCTAGCTATGTTGACTTACAAATTTAACTTAACGTGAGTAAGGAAGTATTACTTGGCTACCTGGCAAGAATGGGACGCTTTGAGCTGTTGTCTTGTGATTTGCTGACAGCTGCGTCCGTGGCTTGCACCCGACCGAGGGAGCCCCCGTCCAGCGGGGTTTACAGCTGGCGGAAGGGAGGGAACTTGCTTCCTTTAGAAGAAACCACTTCACATAAGAGTTTTCCTTAGTGTGTTATTTTGTAAAGCTTGGATTCTTTTGCATTCTTAGAGGCCTTTAACAAGGTGCCTTCGAATGCCCAACTGTTTAGGTTTTACTGAAACTTTTACAGAGCTTCACAGGAACGCTCCCTTGGCTGGTATCACGCTGGACCCCTGTAGGCTTGACTTCTAACGGAGTGTTTCAAATACAGTGTCTGTGCTAGATAACCCGAAATTGGAGCCTAAAAGTTCTAAGCTGACGACCTAGAATTAGGGGACGACTTTGGCCTTTAACTGCTGTCTGTCTTCAAGTCCCTAGAAATGGGGAATTTTGCCCCTTTAGCTTGTGTTAGTGTTTATGAAATACTTGAAAACTACTGTTACAGATGGCGTAAGAGGCTCTATGAGGACTTGCATTTGATATTCATTTTAGGGTTATTCTCCATTTTCTTTTCGTTGTGTGTTTAATAGCTGTCCATTTAGTGAAAGCATCCCTGCCAGTGCAGGAAACGGGCCTGTGCGGAAGGGGCATTCTCCTCTCCTCCCCTTCCACTCCTCCCCCTGGTTGTGCAACCTTTCTCAGAAGGGCTCTGGTATACCGATTTTTAGGTAAAAGAATATTTTAACATTTCAACTTTAAAATGAAGTACTGTGTACAGTGTATTTTCGATGAAAGGAGTTAAACTTTGTAGAGTTTAAACCAGACTTCCCATGTAGACTTTCTATATAACAAGTAATGTTTCCTAAACTATTTAATTTTAATTGTTGTAAAAGACTTTGTAGATGTAGGAGGGAAGTTTTGTGATTTCAGCTTCTGCTTCGAAAAAGTCTAAGCAGATTTTTAGAAAACATGAAAAATCATCAGCGTTGTTTCTGATTTGAATCGAAAGCCAGACCTCTGACATCTAATCACTGCCAGAGCATTTTGAGAATACTGCTGCTAGTGTTCCAGCTCCCCTGGACAGAGTCTCTGGAAGTAATTGTAAGCATTTGGGGAAAACGAGGTTGAAACAAGGCATGGTCCTCCAGTCTCTTGATCTGGAGGAGCTGAGGGGGTGAGGGTCCTCGTCCTGCCTTGCCTTACACTGCATCTGTTTCAATCTGAGCCCCTCTTTTCTGGACAAGAGTGACAAGGTTTCCACGAGGGTCTTACACAAGGATGTTCATGTTTCCCTAACTTTGCTGGAAGTTTCTCACTAGGCGCATGCAAGACTGTATTTGTTCGTTTTAGGATTGCCTCTCTACTGGTTTATAGTTTTTCCGTGAAAGTAAAATGGTAATCTCTTAGCCTTCAGTCTTTCCTCTTTTTGTCACTTAGAAACAGCTGCTGATTTGTAAAAGAAATACTTAGTTAACAGGCATGTCATATTGTATTTTGTACTACTGACGTTCATCCCTTGGGTTTTTTTCTGTCTTTGAGGTTATCAAGTTTCTTATTTTAATTTTCCTTTGTAGAATGCCTCTCAATTTTGTAAGCAGCAGACTTTAATATGACAATTTATTGCACCAGAATTAATAATGAAAATACTCAGTACTGTTTTCGACACTGATCTTGGCTAATGATCTGTCTCCGCTTTGATCATTTCTTCTTTCCAAAACCTTCTCAGTACAGTTGTCCCTCATTGCCCCTTTGTTCAGTCCTTGCGAATCCCGTACTTCCTTGCAGTGCCATTTCAGATTTTGCCACAATTTAACATGTGAATTATTTTGTATTAGTAGGTATTAAAAGTAAAACGTTGTTCGTGCTCTGTAATTGAAGATGATCTCAGCTTTCCCTAAGTTTTGAGACATATGCTTAGGCCCTTCTGTCACATCGTGACTGTGCTTGTACAAAGTCAGAGGCAGGACCAGCGACTGACTCGGATGAAGAAAAGTAGTGGTCGGGTTCCTGAGTTATTCTGATAAAGATAACATGCGTTTTATTGCTGGTAAAAGCTTCATGTCATTTAAAGCTTTTTGTTTTCATTGTTGAAGCTGGAGGTTGACTGTTTATAAACTCTGTATGTGTGACTGTGTGTGTGTGTGTTTAATTCAAGAGACTTTTCAGGGCTTCCACTGCTTGTATCAACAATGTAAAAGGCAAGATGACTATTCCTAATAGTCTGGAGTCTTGTCACATGCTGTTTTAAGCTCTCCTACTGACCTCTTTGAACCAAGTTAAACAGGTAACAAGCATTAAGATTTTTGAGGTTAATCTTATTCTTACAAGTAGATTACTTAAGATCAACAGAAAGGAGAATCTCAGAAAAAAAGTTAGGCAGTTTTTTGAGAGGCAGTTTCTGAAACAGTGCCTAGTCACAAGGATTAGGTGTACAAGTTTTAAAAAAAAAAAACAAAACATAATATTTGAGTGTCTGCAAAATACCATGGTTTTGCCTATTGGGAAATGACTATTTTTAAAAAATAAGAAAAAGCTTGCTATTTAAACATCCTAATTAAAATTTACAGCCAAACCTCAAAATTACCTCTTTTGAAAGATCTCCAGAAAAATTGCAAAAGCTTGGTATTTTTCTTTCCTTAAAAAGCAAGATGTTTTAAAGTCTTTTAGGCCGAAATGTCTTAAACACCTGACGGTGTCCAAAGTCTGACCTCTTTGAGGCCTTGTTTGCATTGGTAGGCATTCTCTTGCATTCCAGCTTATTCTGACATCCTTGATTTGCCTGACAATTCATAAAAGAGGAAAAAAAGCTGAAAGCTGTTTGTCTGAAACAATTTGAGTTGATGTAGAATTGCTCTTTTGTAAATAAATACCAATTATTTATTTGTGTATTTATTTATTTTAGGGATAGACTTCAAGATTAAAACTGTTGAATTACAAGGAAAGAAGATCAAGCTTCAGATATGGTGAGTATATATCCAAGGAGCTATTGTGAAACTGGAATTTTTAAATTGCAAGTTGCCTTGAATCTATGATTTTTAAATTGACCTGTCAGCCTTCCTTTGCATCAACAAGAAACTGCAATCTTATCTCTGCACTTATTTTATATTTTTCCATAGAAACTGTCCACAGTTTATTCAGTTGGCTGAGATGACGACTACTTTTCTGTAGGAAAGTCTAAACATGAGGCAAAACTTGAAAACTTTGTTTTCCTCTAGCTTTTTATGTATGTCTAGCTGGAGATTCTTTCCATTTTAATAGCCCCTTAACAAGTTTGGTAAAAAAGTTAATGCCCTCTCCTAGCTTGGATTTTTGTTTAAACTCTGTCCTCAGCGAAGTATACGTATCACTGATGCGCTCTCCAGCTTTACTTTGAGCTCAGAACTTGAGTTTGCCCATTTTGTCAGTCGTTAATAAAATCCTTATTTATTGCTTGATGGTGTTTGACGTTTGTAAATGCAGAACTCTTAATACCCTGCAGCATGGATTTTAGCCAGAAGGAAGCATTGTTCTTGCTCTATCTGAGCAGTCATTCTAATGCCATAAGCCTGGCTGAATGATTAGCCTTTCTAACTAATGTTTTCTGAATCCTTTGTGTTACCGTTGCTCTGAGTGTGCAATCTCTCAGCTGCTTCTCATATCCCAGTCCTGTGAGCGCCTCCTTAGCAGAAATGGGCCCACTTAACTATTTTGTTTGTGTCCTGTGAAGAAAAGAGTTGTCAAAGTTGATTTTGTTTTAAAAACTCCATAGCTGGTGGATAAAGAAGCAGTTGGATGATGAAGTGACTCTGTGCACAGGAACGCTTCATCAGGGAGCAACAGAGAGTAGCCATCTCCATAAGGGCAGTGTTTTAGGTTGGATTGTCTAAAGAAAGATAGGTATAGATAAGCTGGGAACTGAAAGCAGAGCAGTAAAGAGGAAGAGACTGAGCCATTCAGGCTAGAGAGGCATTCAGGTGTAATATAGCTTCCCTGATCAAGTTACTGGGGATCTGTTGCTATGATCTTAGTCCGTTGGACTGCTAAAGTTCAGATTTTCAGCCCAGATTAAAGCATAACTTTTAATAATCGTTTGGTGTATCATATTTTTTTTTTTGCCAAATCAGGGTGGATGCTATGAATTCCAGAAGGGTAGACGGATAGAACAAAACATTGAAATGATTTAAAAGGAAGTCTTAGACTAAACATTGGAAAAAATCCTCATGAAATGTAATAACTGTAAATATGGCGTACTGAGAAAGTGGAATGTGTGTATAGACAGACAAGCAAGCTGTAATAAGATTGGATGAGCTGAGTTTTATTCTAAAAATATTTGGAAGATATTAAAGTACTAAGGTTCTCAGTGTGATCGTGCTAACATGTGGTTCTGATTTTTAGATATTGACATAATATTTGTATTTTGCATCAAATAAATCAGCACTGACAAACTCGTGCCCTAGGTGTCTTGGAACAGACTATTCCCAATTGTTGGGCATGGAACTGTTCAAAATTTTTTTTAGCATCTTTAATTGAGACGTGTTTCCTGGTGTAGAACTCCAGAATAACCACTTTCCAAGTGAGGAGTGTTGATGGGACAAAGTAAAGAAATATTATGAAGTAACATGTAGGGAACTGCTAGCTTTCCCGATGTATATTGAATGCATTCTAAGATAATTTCAACAGATTTATGTGATGCTGAGCTCAAGAAGCATTCAATTCAGGAGATGGTCTTTCTGACTGTAAATGAGGGATGACCTGTTAATCACAGAATCACAGAATCGTTTAGGTTGGAAGGGACCTCTGGAGATCATCTAGTCCAACCTCCCTGCTCAAGCAGGGTCACCTAGAGCATATTGCCCAGGATCACATCCAGATGGGTTTTGAATATCTCCAGGGAAGGAGACTCCACCACCTCTCTGGGCAACCTGTTCCAGTGCTCTGTCACCCTCACAGTGAAGAAGTTTTTTCTCAGGTTCAGATGGAACTTCCTGTGGTTAAGCAGATATGGAATTTTTACTGGGAACGTTTATGTGTAGTTGCGGTCTTTTAAGTGTTGCAAAGATGGGAGGTGGTTGTCTGAATCTCCTTGTTCCTGACAGTTTAAAATTTCACGTTTGAAATTAAACTTGTCAAGTATTGGATAAAGTTTCCTATAGCACACGCTCGTAATGCAAAAAATCTGAGACTTTATCTAAGACACTGTAGTTTCCATCTTTGCCTCTAAAAGGAATTTTGCCCAGCAGTGGTTTGCTGGTAGCTAGAATAGCAATGTGTTTTGGTTAAGGTACTTTACTTTGTGTAATGCATCTATATTTAACTGCCACTTCCTGTATTTAAACCAAACCTTTATTTCTAGGAGTCATGTAACGTATTTCCAGAACTACACCTCATTCTCTTCTCAGTAGCTCTGTAAGCAAGGGATGCGTTTGGGGCGGGGAGGGTTCCCCTTCTGAGCTTAAGGCTGTATTGATAGCTTTTCTTGTTTTGTGCCAAGAGTAGGGATCGTGCCTCTATACCTGAAGGAAATGCACAGAAGCTAACATAGTTGAATCGATTCGAAGCATATATTCTGAATCATAGGTAGAATTTTCACTGGGATGCGACTACCATACTTGAATAAGCTGATCAGAAGATAACAAAAGAGCTTCAGTGAGGAGAAAGCAGTCTCAGTTTCACTTAAGGGCAGGAGATGAGACACGTGGCGCTTGTGTACTTTCAGCTACGTTGCAGTTATGCTTGTGCATCAGGTATGTTTTTTGCAGGATATCCGTATTCAGAATTTAGAGGAGGAATGACCGTTATTTCATTCGTGTGCCCTTCCTCCGCCCCCCCGACAATGATCCCTTGCTTGTTATCCATCCGTTTTATTTTTAAACATCTTGGGGGGGGAAAAGGTAGTTTTGTCTTGTATATTTTTAATAATAATAATAATAATAGTGCTTATTCAGACTGATACCTAACTTGAAGTTTTTTTGGTTCTTGACATTCATCTTTGTTTCAGAATAGTGAAACTCAGCTGTTTCCAAAATGATAGATGCCAGCAGATAATTTTGTACATTAAAGAACTTAGTATATGCTAGCCATTTCCCAAATATGAAGGAGTTTCTTTATATAAAGTTGCTCAGTGTTTACAGAGGAACTGCTTGATGAGCCATCACTGGCAAAAGCGATGGCTGAGCAAACCGGAAGCTTACAGAACAAGCCTTGAAAGGTTTCAACATCAGTGGGAACAATTAAGTATTCAATTAAATAGCATTTGTTATTTACATAGGTGAAGGGTGTATTTCTTTTCTCGTACAGAAAACAATAGAAATAAATTGAAAAACAGTTTAAAATTACTGTATTAACCTGCCTCTCACTGATCCATTTAATCCATATCACCCATGTATTAAATCTTTTACATGCAGCTGTCCTTGTATAGGAGTTGCTCTCTGACTGTCCACAAAGCTTTAACATTGTGTTTTAGTGCCCTGCAATGTTTTCAAAAAGCCTGACATTTATTGTGCTTTGGTGTGTTGGCTAGTACAGATTTTTGTACTCTTCAGGGCGGGGGGCACGATGTCTAGCACAATGAGAGGCGAGTGTCACAGAAAAGCAGATAAGAACAGCCCCTTCTAATATAGCACTGCTCTTTTCCTAAAAAGCAGGAGTGCTATCAGCCTGTTATAGGGCATGGAGACTAAGCACGTGTGATGATATCTCAGTCATGCCTTGACCTTTAAGATGTGTAGGAGTGAAGTAAGAATACTCAAGGTCAAGCTAAGTTAAACCTCACCAGAGGTGATAAACAGCTTGCTGTTTTATAGCTATTAAGAAGTGGAGTGGTGGTTCTGTAAGGTTTGAGCTAGGATTAAAGATACTGCTCCAAATGTAAATGCGTGTCTTTGTTGCAAAGCGGTGTTGAAATGGAGAGTGAGGAGGTTGGGACAAGGGGAAGTGGAGAATGGTGGGGTTGGATAGCGAGCGGGACTGTGTTTGTGCGCAGGAAACGTCTGTACAGCTTCAGTTTCGCTGGGCAAGCTCGGCATAGTGCACGGGCTGCAAGCAGGGAGGAGGACGGGACGCTGCTCTTGGGACAGCCTTGTGAAGGAATGAGCTTGTTCAGTGTAGATCCAGCAGGAAGAGTCGTGCTGTAGCAAGTACTAGGTGGTCGCATATAATTGAAGAATCGAGGATCCTCTTGATTAAGATTAAAAATGGACAAGTAGTACAGTAACCTAAAGTTTATGATAGGAAGCCATAAAGAAAGCTACTAATGGGATGAGTACAGGATTTGGTAGAAAGATATAGGTACAAACACTTGGAGGTAAAATGTTTAGTAATATTTATTAAGGGTGGGACCTGGAAGGAATGGCACTGATGCATTCCTTGAAAGACATTAACATTTGTGAAAATGGTCATTGTACAGAGAAGGGAGGGGAAAGGGAAGAGCCAAAATGAGTGATTACTGCTTCAGAAGAAGGTAATATCATTGCAGAAGTGATGGAACGCTTCTCGGAGGAGTAGAGTAGTAGAACTAAAAATTCAGCTGCGGAGAATGTAAACTCACACGCTCTAGGAGCTTGGATGCAATTGCTTTGAAATGAAAGCTGAAAGGAAGCCGAAAGGCTAAGGCATCCTGTAATTCACTGAAATAACTAACATAAATGCACCAATTGAAAAATGAAAAGTGATTTTTCTGCTACAAGGGGTGAGATCATTTCCTGTGGGCAGGGAAATAAGTGTCACAGTCTAACATAATGCATAGTTTTGATTACTGTGCTTCAGAAAGGACAAGTAAGAGGATCAGACGGCTGTAATAGCTGAAGGAACAACTAAAAAGATTAGGATTCTTCAGGTTATAGGAGAAGAGACCAAAAGGGATTTTTAAAAACATGTGTCTTGGAAAAGATAGGTAGAGATTGGTTTGCTCATTGCCTCTTCCAGTACAAGAACGTTAGTTCCAGCTTAAGGCTGGAAGGTGGCGTGTGCAACCCACGCAGAAGTC